TAAAATACAACTGAGAAAAAAATTAGTACACCTTTGGAAGAATCCTTCTCTCTTTTATGTCATACTGATAGCATGGGGTAAAATATGGACTGGACCATTGGACCCTTGGACTATTTTGTGGACTTTTTTTTGGACCACTTTTTGGACCATTTTTTGGACCTTCTTTTCAACCATTTTATCCAAGGGGCCCCCACCATTAGTACTCAGGGAGGGGTGGGATGCAGTCTATCAGTACTTAGGGAGAGGTGAGAGACAGACTGTTGTTACTCAGGGAGGGGTGGAAGATGAATGAAAAGAGGAGGGGTGGGAGGTGGTTATAGGAGTAAATGCTACAGATTGATGGAGTTTTTACTGGATCATACATATTTTTTTGAGTGGTTTTTCAACTGACTGACTGACTGACTGACTGTCAAAATTTTTTAGCTGGGCTGTTATGCTGGGCTGTTCTTTTGTCATGCAAATCTGCCACCTAAACACTGGACTCAGATTGTAATTAAAAGTATGGCCAATTCTCAATTTTTAACCTCCACTATTGAGTCATGTGTGTGCCTTTTAAGTTGACCTGTTCCAGTGCTAAATGCTTCACATTTCCCTTTGGGTGGACAGTATATCATTACTGAATTTATCTATCTTCCTCTTGTCATTGATTTTACCAGATGACAGAGATCATGGAATTTCCGGTGCTTAGCCCTTATTTAGCAGCATAGAATCCATGTGTGCTATCACAATTTTAATGTTTGCATCTTTACTGAAAAAAACATTGTTGATATAATTATACAGAGCGATCTTCTCTCTTTTCAGATACACAGTTTTCCGGTTTTAAGTTAAGGGTCATGTCATGCATTCCACTTTGTACATTGATGATTAAAACAGCATAGCTTCAGCACTAGATAATTTTTTAAATATTAGGTTTGCCTTTTATGGCTTAAGGATGCTATTTTCCTTTCACATAGCTGATGGATTGATTCATTAAACCCACACAAGTGCAAATTACAAAGTTACCTTTTTTTGAAAATTACAGATTTCTAATTCACAAATGAAGTATTTCCCTTTTGCAAATTACCTATTTGAGTTAATCTCACAAATAACATTATTTCATTTTGTTTCCTTTTGCAAATTACAGAAAGCCCTCTCAGGGACAATGACAAAACAACTTCAATGTTTTCCAATGACTCAAGAGGAAAGAAATCTCATTCCAACTTCAGAAACAGTCAGAGTGATAAGTATGTACTAACTGCAGGCCAAATCAAAACATTATGTAAAAATGAGGAGAAACTGAATTGTACAAATAAAGTTAAAGTGTGTCGGCAGTGAGGAAATGGGCAACAATAACTTTTCTGTCTACACCTGTTATATCACCTTCTGTTGTATTTGCTGTGCTATCGATGAACAATAATTGAACAATAATTTACACATTATTAACAAACAGTAAGAATTGTCATTTCCCTAGTGTACTTTAAAGACCTAGCTCTTTTTGTATTTGATTTTGATGGGCTGCATCGAGGGAGTCTTTGTTTCCTGAAAATCACATCTTGCAAGAGAGTGGAGCTGCCATACATTTCTATATTTGAGTTCTTCTCATACTGTATGCACAAATGCAAGAAGAAATTTCCTCACAATGTTCGACAAGCTGACAGTTTTGCAAGAAGCTACCATTCAAAAGTAGCGCTACTAATATCAGAGTTGAATTGGAAAGTCAAAAATCATGGAATGTTATGTTGATACAACATTGAAATTGATTGAATCACAGACCATTCTATCTGTCTGGTCAAGACTTATACAAGCTGCCAATCGTTTCATTGGGCTTCCCTTCCCTTAGTATGAAGTGGAATGCATGATATGACACTCAAGCGTGTGTTCACCATATCAAAAGGGGAAACGTGTGTATCTGAAAAGAGAGAAGATTGCTTTGTACGACTGTACCAACAATGAGTTTATATATTAAAGGTATAAATGTTCAATTACGATAGCGCATATGAATTCTATGCTGCTAAGTTAAGGACTAAGGACCGGAAATTCCATGAACTCATCTGATAGGGTCAATGACAAAAGTAAGATAGAAAAATTCAGTAATTAAAAACTGTACACACAAAGGGAAATGTGAAGCAACTGATAGTGCACAAGTATACTCAAAAGCCACACGCAAAACTCAACAGTAAAGGATCGTAGATGTGATACTTTGAATAACAATTAAAGTCCAGTGTTTAGGTGGCAGTTTTGCATTTGCATGATGAAAAAAAAGGAAGATATGCTGCAGCCCAGTGCAAAAATTTTGGTATAAAAAAATCAGTGGAAAAACCAATTAAAAAAATTTGCATGATAGAGTAAAAGCTCCATTAACCAGTAGCATTTATTATTACAACCACCTCCCACCCCTCTATACATAGTAATAGTGTGTCTCTCACCCCTTTCTAAGTATAACACTGTGCCTCCCACCCCTGCCTCAGTACTGATAGACTGCATCCTGCCCCTCCCTGAGTACTAATGGTGTGCTTCCCCTTAATAAAATGGTCCAAAAAATGGTCCAGTTCATATTTTACCCTATGCCCCATCTTCTTCACCTCAAGCTATTATGCTGCTCAATTTTTTATTTTCTCTCAAGTGGATGTTCATTTATATGTGCAAAAAGACACCATAATAAATCAAAATTTGGGTTTCTGTCAATAATGATAAAACTCAGTCAACAGTTAAAACAAATTTCCCCCCCACAATTTACCTGCCTTTGTATCAAAGCATCCCACACTAAACTGTTTAATATAACTAAAATGGGAAGGGAGTGGTGATTTTAAATTTGCTCAATATAATGTGTAGTGGGAATTACAAAACCCCCCTTCCTTACTACCCAAATTAAAGACGAAACAGTGCAAAGAACCAGGACCAGTAAAATTACTGCCAGTAGTACCTCTAATTACTGCCTAAAATTGCTTTGAATTCTTGAAAATTCAGCAATCAAAAGGATTGCTTTACAGGCTTGAAAATGTCATTTACTTTTCATGCTTAAGATAAGGAAGAAAATTGATTTTCCTTATCATAGGAAAATAGAAGTGGAAGTATGCAAGGTATTCTAGCCATCTATTTAGTTACACCCTAAAAACTCTCTAACCCTCCTATTTGATCTGGGGGTTAATTTTACCAGAGAGTGTAAGCATTGTCCCCCACAATTATCATAACATAGACATAATTAGCATGAATATCTTTAAATATAATTGTGCATCATTTAACATCATTTCAGTAAACTATAAACCATTAAACTATACTACCAGTTTACAGTTCTAAAGATTCATTTTGGCATGTTATATTGTTGGATCAAATACAGACATTTCTGATTGATAAAACAGCAAACTGATTTTAAAAGGTCATTAATTATAAATGTGCAACTCATGAAACAAATTCTGTCTTTCTAATGCCCTAATTTTGTTCATAAAAAAATGCTCATTACTTGATTTCAACGGCAATCAACATTAGCCAGTGGCCAGAAAAAATGTGTCTTTCATTATGGTTAATTGGCAAGTACATTTCTTCTCCAATCATGTTGCAACTGGTTGAATTTTAAAAAATCAAAAATGCTAAATGTTCACCCTTTGCATACATGAAAAAGAAATATCCTCCAAAAGTTTCATTTGGTAGAGTATTTCGTCCTGCTAGGTCATCATGTTGGTGATCAGACAAACCACAGAGTTAATTTCACAAACAAATCACCCCCTGAGTGAAATGTACAAAGTGTGTCTCTATTGTTTAGATTTTGGACTACAATGTTTACATAGTTTGCATATACAACCTCCCTTGCACAATGCACAAAAGAAATACTAGCAATGGGATTAAAAATGTTTGGTTTAAAATCATGTCAATCAGTTGAGTTGAACAGAACCAGTAATTCTTACACAGAGGAGGTAAAACTATGATTGATTGTGGGGAAACAGAAAATTGTAAATAAAACATACCATCTGAAAAAAAGTAATTAAGTGCAACAGGAAAGGTTTGGGAAGTTTATCAGGTGGAATCTAGACTCTGGGAAGAAAGATAATGGGTGTTGTTGCATTTAATAATTTCACTTGTTTCTGTTGTTGAAATATAGAGGTTAGGAACTAAAGTGGGAGAAAACTTGAGCATCTTATCACTAAAACCCAAGAATTAAAGGGCTTAATCTACGTATTGTATTCAAAAGAGGTTCAGGAAAATTAATTTTGTAGACACCTCCTAGACAGTTTAAATCGGTTTTGTAGAAAGAATAAGTCGTTTATCGCGTTTTGCGGTAACTCCGACATTTCCTAAGCACGCTTTGGTTCCATAATGAATCTTGCTCAGCCAATGAATGATCATTTTCATAAAAATAATTAAAAACACATCAGTTTCTGATGGAAAAGCAATATTCTCCAGCTTCTAGTTCGCTTCTTTTTTCCGCTTTGAATGTCGATTATACGCGACTTATCACATAGGGAAATCATGGGCCAGATTGAAAGATTAATTGAGGTTTGCTTATCTCAAGCAAGAATTTTGGAAATTTGTTTACACAGGACGAAAGATGCATCTATTAGTGAAGAACACTTTTTAATCAAAATGCACCGATTAGGCGCCTTAACTTAAACGAATAGGTTCTTTCAGAGATTATTTTCACTAATGTAGGTGTGAAAATCTCATCTTCAAAAATCTTACAAATAGAAATCCGATTGCAGTGCGCTACACGAGTTTCGTGGTTGAAAAGTTATATTCACTCATCCTCGTCGGCGCATGACGAGAGAAAACGTACCGGATATTTTGTTACGCTCACTTTATCAAAACAAACATTTTACTCTGCGCTAAAATTATCGAATTGCGAAAAAACGAGAGGAATAAAACGATCGCTCAAGTACTGCTAATTAGCATGTGGGTACATAATAAAGTACAAAATCTTGTTATATTACAGGCTGTCACGCTCAAAGAACTAAAAGAAAAAAATGCGTGCTTTCACAACAATAATACACATAAAAATAACCAGATGTAACATATGAGAATTATCTTACCTGTGGTAGAAAATTGTAAAACTCGAGAATTTCGTTCCTTATCGAACACGTTGGTAATCTGCGCACTTTTAGGGAAGGCCCAGCTCCAATTTACTTCTGAAACAGTCTCGGCATCCTCGAAAACTTTCTCTTTCCCTTCTGAATCACCTTCAATATGCAGCAAGTTGTAGTGAGAGAGACCATACTGCGCAATTTGAATAGGATAAAAATGTCCTTCTGGACTCCACTGTAACGAAACTGGAACATCTTCGACTCCACTAATACATTTTACTCTTGAACGACCTTCAACATGATAATGTTCAAACCAGAGGAAAGGGTCTTTTGTTTCGTACACAACTCCGGCTTTCGGATGGTGTATATCGGAGTAAGAATGACGCCAATCTAATACAGTCTTTCCATCTAACTCCTGAAGGTCACCATAAATGTCAAAATAGTCTTTCACAAAAGAAAAAGGCACATAAGCTTCGTTTTCTATCAATCGTCCCTCTAATTTCTTTCCCCCGTTGACGATTACGTCGATTCGATGGTCGTTCGGACAAACGGCCGCGTCTGATTCTGCGAGTTTCTGTGTGCTTAATTCTGTCCTTTCTGTGGGATTGTCTTCGTCCTTGCTTGTTCCAGCAATTACTTTGGAACAATCGATAGCAGTTAGCGGCACACCTCTTATCTCTTCGTATTTATTTGTGGGAAGAGTTGAATGAACTTCACATCCACTCCAAAACAGGTACAAAGTTGTGACGGACGTGAAAGTGCACGCCAAAAACAACTTTAACGAAAGCTTGTGCACACAGAATGGTCCTAAACGCATCATCGAAAAGCTTCATCGGAAGATCTCTCCTTTCCTCGCATTTATTACACTTGAAATCTTGTTTATCAACAGTTACACATGTTACGCTCGTATATATATTCTGCCTCGACCGCTACCGCCATGTTGCTTTAGTCTTCTAGTTCCAGTCTTCCTCGTATCTTTCGCCGGGCATCAATATCTCAGACTTTAAGTTGATACCAATCTAAATCCACTAAAAAAGCAAACTGTTATAATTCAACTGGCTAAATATACTATGTTTTCGAGTTCTATCCTTGATCGAACCGCTGACGTTGTTTATTTACATTATTTTGGATGGAGTAAGGCGGCAAGGGGAAACAAGTGCTAGAGTGTCGGACTTCTATGTGGGTGCCCTCTCGATAAACACCTGGACTCGACCTTACAATGCAAGCGACCAATATTTCTAAAATTTTAATTTGTTTATCAAATGAATAAGGTTGGAAACCTTTAGTTCTCGCCAGGTTATTTGTTAGGAAGTAAAGACACCCAAGGTGTTAACATTCACCGTTTCCTCTTAAGCTAGATGGGTTAAATTTCCATTAGTATAATTATGGCAAAGCATTCATTTTCGCTAAGATCTTATCTCTTACGCCAGTGAATCTCACCCAATCTGCTTTTTACAGTAATACGATCATTACCAAAATAATAGAAAATATATCAATCGGAAGTGGAAAAACATAAGGTAGACCAAAATCTTTACAAAATATGTCTTGGGAGACGAATGATGCGGAGATTTTTCCATCTGTCATGTTTTCTGTTGCTATGAATATAAAGAAAATTCATGTAAGCTACATTCAATACTGATATAGTTCGTCTTATTAAAACTGGGCATTTTTTGATAACACACAACGTTTACATTCATGCTTGAAGCGAAATTAATTTCCAGCAGAATTTGTTTTAGAAAACTTTTAAAACCTCCGACATCACTGAAATGACAGGAAGCTGAAAAGATAAACAATGGAAACACACGCCAGGACCAAAAACGAGTATTAAAACAGTTCTCACGTCTAGTGACGTCTGTGCCAAGCTTGTGATTATAAGATTACCTCTACAAAATGTCACTGTTTCGGGGTTTCTTGAGAAAACCTTTTGTCTTTCCTCTGTTAGATCAGAAATTTGATTTTGAGGTTAACCATGTACGTGATGGGTCAATCAGCTTATTCAATCTATAATTAGACAGAATTTGTGCGATCAGGGTCTTGCAAACATACAAGTTTTTTTTTTAAATATTTTCTTCATTCTTGAAAAGAGACAATTATTCCTTGATATCGTATGGCCATTGACTTCCGATCAGAAATCATGAACAGATTGGATTGGAAATGATTTTAACTTTGGCACTACCGCTCCAAGTAAACGCTTGACGTATGGCTGGAATTAGGATTTCCACGCAGTGCAAATTATTATAACAAGGGCTTTTACAATGGGTTTATATTCGTGAAAACAACTCTTTTCCATTTCTGCTAACAAGGTGTCAACAAAATTTGCAACGCTATTCGATCTTCATCATAGGTAGGCATGTGGCCACTTGGAATTTTTCCTGACCTCAGATGGAGCTCTATACTGATTTTTCTAAACAACCCAGGGAGGCATAAAGGAGACTAAACATCCAAACCCGCAACAGACAGTGATTAACAGCGAGGCATGCAATCGCCGAATCCTTTAAAAGAACATGCTGAGCTTTCGCTAAAAATAGTAGTATCTTTATGCTTACAAAGCTGGAAAGTCCCTCAGATCACTCAAGATTAAACATTTGCTAACAAGATGTAACACTGTGCTTCAATAAAGTACGTTGGCTGGGAAACACAGCTTAATGAAACTGGGTACCTCAAAGTAATACAGACTAGGAGTAGATCTAGGAGGTCTATCAAAAAGAGGATTATTTACACAAAAGGTTTCTTAAAAAAAAAAAAAAAAAAAAGCGAAGTTTCAACGCATTCTTTAATTGAATAAGTGGGTTACTCTTTATAATCACGGTAAGTATCCTAATTTGTTGAAATGTAAATGCATCCTGCTTACCTCCTCAATTACAAGGCAACATTAAACACATTAATTGAATAACCGCGACTATTCACGAAAGCACTCTCATTTCTCCAAAAGTTATCTTTTACTGAACCGGTAAACACATAGAGAGTCTGTTCAGTTATTTGGGATGGCAGGAGAAGTGTTAAAAACTTGAATGTCAGTCTCCTGCCTGCCTGCCTAGTATTTCGTGTCTTCCCGGTGTCCAGGGTGAGTAATTACACCGATAAACCGATAAAACGTGCGGCCGACTCCTTAGAATAATCTTTTAATGGCAGATACCGAGTAAATTTTAGAAGTGAAAACTGCATGTCCGTCCACTGCGACAATTGTCTTTCAGTTGACTAGCAGCCGAGATTACGTTAGTCACAATGATCTGCCTTCGTTTGCTAGAATGTTGTCGAAGTCGGAAAGTTCCTCTACACGCTTAGCCGTTCAGTGTCATCTTTAGCGTGAATGGCCAACATCCTGTCACAAAACAACTAAAGTACCTGTTGAAATTTATGATTGTGAAACTGACGTACGGCAGACAAAGCTTATCAATTTAAGACCGTCAATAATATTCTCAAGAAATTCAGAAAAAAGAAGTACAGATTGTAAGATAGGACACAAGAGAACACGCGTTTTTATAAGTAAGTTTAAGCATTTTTATTAATCAAAAAATACATTCTTTATACTTTGCAACAAGACCTTTTGATCCCAAGCATGGTACTTGTGGGTGTTCTGTTTACACACAACTCCTAATCCTGTAAAAGCATCTTTTTTTTTTCGAGACAAACGTCGTGTTTTTCTATTGTAAGCAAAACAGAAATTGAAAACCTGTGATGTCAAAAACCGATTGCCGGGCTGATATTTTTATGGCCATTTCCGTTATCTAAAAGGAGTTCAACTTACAAAATACAAATGTCAAAACAGAAAGGAGTGACGAGAAGTCGCCACAAAGGCTCCTCCTAAATATCGAAAATATCTGATCGATGATGGAAAATCCCTTGATTGTGAATAAAACAAATTGTTGCAATTGATCTAGTTCAGATGAAATCGACCCATCAATACCTTCTTTTTTTTTAACACAAGCCGCGAAAATCTTTCGTTGACAAAATCACCCTCTTTTGGCTGAAGCAAAAAACTCAGTCATAAATTGTATTTTTATTTTAATCCGATCAGAGCGGAATTTGAGTGGAATTTGAAACCTTCAGTTGCCAAAGGACAATTAACAAGTCAGATTTACGTCTTTTAGTCACAAAGATTATTCTGTGCCGCATTTCTACCGTTGATAAGCAAACAGTGGATATTTTGTGTTGTTTATTAAAGGTACTCGTTCACGTGCGTTCCACCTTTGTTTCAACTTCCAACAATGGTGGCGAACAGCCAAACACTGATGATAGATATTCAACGGAAGCTCAGTCTTCAAAGTTTCACCAGGGTTACTTCGGCACTTTTGTCACTGGTTATCAGTCTCCGCGCGGAATATCTTCATCATCTTCTACCTTCTTGCGAATATTGCAGTAATAGTAACTCATAATGAAAGTGGTGGATACCAGCAGGGCGGAGCCGAGAGACGCGCAGATAAAAACCACATAAGTGTGAGGGAAATGGAATCCACTGTTGTACGCTGATGGACTTTCTTTCATGATTTCACAGTTCGTATATTCTGGTGACGATTCATTACAAAGCATCAGTTTGCTTGGTGCCATGGCTCTACTGGATGCTGTTTCAGTAAAACTTGGACTGAAGTAACAAATCAAAAATCAAACGTTACAATCTGTACCTAATGGTAAAGAGCACATTGGGTACATGTTGTACGGATAAGCCCCTTTGAGAGTGCCGCAAAGGAAGCATGTTACGGAAACAACAATACCACGTTTTTAACCCTTTGCACCCTAACATGCATCGGTATGCAAATTCTCCATACTGTTCTACAGCATGGTAAACGACGATCATCTTGTCCTAAAAACATCTTTCGTGAATTCAAATAAAGTGTTTCGTGTCATCAGAGGCAAAAAAGGGAAATCTGTTGCTGCAACATGTCTCCTGTACGCGAATCATAAGCTGCAACGCACATAACAACTTACCTTAATGTTGTCCTTACTTCCCTAAAATGAAAACTTTTGCAAGTCACACCTTTCCCTACCCACCCAAGGAGAGAACTAAGGGTGTGGAAACCTGAAATGGTTAGCGATTTTCTGGGTTTGCATCGCAAGAATGGTCTTCTCCAAAATCAATGTAGTTTACAAAAATCACCAGTTGAGCTGCCAGGTTACCTGGATAATTACAAAATGAAGGCATCTGCACTAGAATTTTCAGCAAATTCAAGTTTATAAAAGGTAAGGTTACTCTTGGGAATATTTTATTGGCTCTTTGTGATTTATTCCTTTCCTCTGATTGGCTGCTATGATTCCTTTAGTTCCGGTTTGACGACAATCCATCAAAAAGGGCTCTAATGTCCGAGAAATTATAAGGTTTCTCAAACATACTCTACGTTCCTCAATCTAACCTGTCATTTAACTGGTCATGGTAGTGCAGTCCACTCGTCGCCACTACTCCTCTATCAGCATCCTGAGGAGCTTTGTTCACCTCAACAGCCGAGTCAGATGTGGACATGAAAACCACGAAGTCCTTGGTAGAGTTACGATGACGAGATTTGAGGAACACCTTCCTGCTTCCTGTAGCATTGAGCAGTGTGAGCTCTTTCATTAAATAATTTCGTTGTTCGGAGCTCAATCCATGTTTATGGTGTGTTTTGACAGCCACTGGCGAATTATGACCTTTGCTGTAACTTTTGTTCGGGATGTGAATATTGGTTTTTGCCTGGTCACCTTAAATACATTGAAAAAACTTTAAGTACAGTCCAGTCATATTCCAGCCTAAAGACAAGTAAATTTGGGTTATTAATTCTACAACATGATTTTGCTAGTCTAAACATTTGATAGATAACGCCAAACAATTTTATACCTCGATGGTTGTGGTGAGAGGAGTGCTGCCGTATGAATGGAGAAAATAGCTTTGGCGATCCTTTACAAGTTGGTGCATACAAACGTGGCTCCTCAGCCACCCATCTTGCTGAAATGAGCCGACTATCGACACACCGTCCACGACCTTTACACTTTTTCTGGCTGCAGACCTCTGTTCGATGCCTTACAGATTCAAAGTAAGGACCAAGTTTTGTTTTAATGTAGTCATTGAGCTGAGTGCAAACTTCAGGAGAGGTGTTCTCATCACGCCTGTTCCCCCACATGACTACACCCGCTGCACCCATATCAGCTGCTTGGCCAATTGTATTGTGTAGATCAACCTGCAAACATCACACAGAAGCCATGGAGGTCACATGACATGGCAATGCAAGGATAAGGCAGTGGTTTAATTAAGTGGGGTTCCTGGAGTTAAGAGGGGACTTACAGCAGTTTATTATGATTGCATGGGTAATATATAGATTTAGGCAAGCCTAAAAGCGGAGCTCGCATTTTTTTTTTCTCGCACGTCTCTTCAACAAAACTAAAGCCCCTACTATGGATAAAGTGCGTGATAATATTAATGGATTTTCATTCGCAACTTCTCCGTGTCCGTGTAGAGGACTGATTATAAGATAGTACCCGTGGTACAGTTGGCCGCGCACGCTAAAAGTAGCACCTTGTACGGTCGGTCGTACGGTCGTACATCCAAATTTTTTCGGCTTGATGGGTTACTACTATTTTGTATAATTATGGGGCTACGCTCTGCGAGCTTAGCTATAAATAGCAGAACTAGGGTTTGGCCTGGTGGCCTGTGGTAGAAAAAGGTAGACAAATAGAAAAAGTGGTGCATCCAGGCAGCACTTAACCCACTTTTTGTAGCATTAAGCAACTATGAGTATTCCCCCCCACCCCACCCCTGGATGGGATGCTTGTCCACCCCAGGTTACCCCAGCATTTAATCAGCTTTCCCTGACAATTTGCCAGTACTTGTTTTTTACTCCTGGTTGGAGAGAGGCACTGTGAGAGGAAAAAGTCTTTCCTTGCAACATTGCTTGAATGTTTTAGGTTTATGTTGATGGTAATTCAAGAATCTAAGTGCAACTTTTTGCACATGATCATAGACAGCAGAAAGATGTGGGAAGAATGATTTACCAGAATTTTGATTACAAAGATACCTTGTATTTAGCCTCCTAAGAGTTGGACAGTGCAAGTCATTGTTATTTTCCATGCTACTTTTGTTTTTCTTCTCTGTCTGTTTGGTCATTGTGTAAATAAACTACTCATTTCTTTCATTTTCAGTCCTTCCACTGCTTTCCATTTTATTAAATGTGATCTCAATAAATCTGAAGTAACTGTACTAGCATGGCATTTTGTTTTAAATGGTGTCTCCTTGATTGCTCTCCAATCACAGTCAAGAATGTGACAAACATAACACAGAGACCTGGCCACATCTTAAAACTGGATTTCTTAACCCCAATTCTGGCAGTACTAACCATCAGGCCACCTAATTTCCCACAGTGGCCCTTTCATTCCCAAGATCTAAACATCTATTCATAACAATGTCTGTTACAGCTTCTTATAATCTAAGCTCTGAGAAGTTGGTGTTCAATCAAACAATTTCTTGCAATTGATAAACTTTTCACTAGCTCCTAATCACCTTTCTGCTTGAAAATGTATCAATATTATAAGGAGAAAGTCATATCTAGTCATACCTGGGAGTGAAAGAGTTAAGGCCTGTAAAATGAATAAGTATATCTCTCAGTTGCTATGTGCACTAGGATTGGTCAATTTAGTGGGCCATAACTCACTGCACAGTCCACCAAGGTCAAAAGTTTGTTTAAATTGAAATCTTTCCTCTCTATTTAGAAATGACAGATATCTTATTAACCTTGTTTTCTCAGTTCTTACTGTAAGTTACAGTTTTTTCTTACCAGGATTTATTACCCTCACCTTCACACCTGGGTCTGCTGTAAGTAACAGTACTTAATTTGTTCCTGTTAGGATTGATTACCCTTGCCTTCACACCTGGGTCTGCTGTAAGTTACAGTACCTCATTTGTTCCCATTAGGATTGATTACCCTTGCCTTCACACCTGGGTCTGCTGTAAGTTACAGTACCTCAATTGTTCCCGTTAGGATTGATTACCCTCGCCTTCACACCTGGGTCTGCTGTAAGTTACAGTGCCTCATTTTTCTCTGTTAGGATTTATTACCCTTGCCTTCACACCTGGGTCTGCTGTAAGTTACAGTACCTGGTTTTTCCCCGTTAGGATTTATTAACCACGCCTTCACACCTGGGTCATAAATCCTGATGGAAAAGCTTTGTCTGTAACTTATGGTACATACCTCAAGCTGGGTTAGCAAGAGATATAGATGCAAAATGAACAATTTCTTACCAGAGTAAGGTAGTCAAACTCAAATGGTTTTCCTTCATATAGGTGACGGAAATAAGGAAACACAGGAACTGTTCTCTTATTTTCCTTTGACACCCAAGTTGCCAGTCTAATAGCTTCCTCTAGTCTCCCATAAGTAAAAGCTTTATTCCAAGACTGTTGATCGTAAATGTAAACAGATGGGTACAGTGCCATACTGCTTGAAAACAACCACTTGAGTTTGTTGTTCATCTCCTGGTGCTGAAAATGAAATAATGGTGAAATAATTTATGAAAAACAATCTCTAAAAAATTTAACAGACAACTAATTTTCACATTAATAAAGGGGGTAAGTTTCTAAAGAAACTGTGGTGCTGCATCGGTGGGAGAGTATAGCAGGTAATTTAGTGTTAACCACTGAGTTGGAAATGTAAATTGGCCACTGTAAAGGGTAAAACAGCTGACATTTTGAGCATTAGCCCTTTGTCAGAGTGATTAGAGGGATTGTGGGTGAGTTTATATGCAGAAAGTGGAGCTACACTATTGGTGGGAATATGGTGATGAGAAAACAGGAATACATTAGTTGAATGAAAAGCCCTTGTTGATTCTGTGGGGATGAAGGGCGCTGATTTGGAAGATTAATTGTCACAGTTTGTCACACATTAACAAATCAAAAACATCATTTGAATTATTATTTTTAATAAACCACTTAGTTGATATTTTTCTTTATTCTCATCACTTGCCTGCTTCGTATTGTATAGATATATTGTAAGGAGAAATTCTATCTTGGTCATGCATGAAATTAAAGGGTTAACCACCAAAAGTACCTGAATATTCTTGTTCCAAAAATAATAATAATAGGCAATTGCTTGCAATCTTAGTGATACGTTGAAGACTATTTACCTAAATCTAACTTGTACTACTGAGATATTTGTGGCACATTGAAAATAAACATCTTGAATACACTTTGTAAATGAAACTACTAACACCCAAATACATTGTAGATATCTGCTATCTTAAACTTGGTTTCATTACTCTATGCTTTTTTCTCAAGCCTTTATGATGCGTAAACTATAAACTATTTCTTCCCAGAAAACGCCATGTGCAACAAGGAATTTATTTAATGATGGATCTTACTCACATCATCAGAGCAGCGGTAATTTGTTTCATTTGATCCAAAACAGTCAGGGAACCCATAGAAGCCCCATAATCCCTTAGGTCTGACTTGTCTTGCTAACTTGATAGAACTCTCCATAAATACCCGAGCAGTTCTTTCAAATTCTTTTTTTGCTTCCTCAATGACTTCTTCCATGGACCACTCCGGATGTTTGTCTTGGACAAGCTCCACTGATCTACTTTGATAAATTCGCTTAGAATCAAAGTTTCTCTCCCATGTCGGGCGCCATCCTTCCCAGTCTATTATGACAAGGCCACTATAATCTGGATCTGGAATTTTTTTAATGATGTCTCTTTTCATTTTTCTTAGATGTGCAGCTAAATCTATCAGCTGAGAAAAAAAAAATTACATTAAACATTACACAATATTCGTTTTAGTTCAAGCTGGGAATTTGATAGTTACTGAATGGTAAAGTAAACAAATATGATATATTGATTTAAAAGTGACTGGAGGTTATAACATTACTTAAGCTGTAAGAAACAATTAAAAGTTGAAATATGATTAATACTATAAGTGCCAAATCAATTATTTTTCAAGAGATCTCACATTAAACAGAAAATTTTGCTGCTAAATAAGCCAAGCTTAAAATTATAAATGACCTGAACCACAAACTAATCAGGGTGACATATTCGTTTGTTTACCTGGGGCATTCCTCCGTTATAGCTGTTTGTTCCCTGCTCGTTTGTAAAATAAGGATATAATCCCAGTTGTGCATTATAAAATACTGTCACATATTTTCCATTCCAAGTTTGTTTCGGATTTTCCAGGATGTCAAAGTCTCTCAAGTTGATGTTGATGCTAAAATTGACAGAACATCCACCCGTCGGGGCGTTCCATATCGCTACAAACGGCCGATCCTCGATTGGAAACTCCTCGCACTTACAGTAGGAGTTCTTTACATCTAACGCATTACCCAAAAGAGATATACCAATCACAAGTAGAAGAGGATGCAGTAAACGAAATAATCGGGCCACAAAAAGACCCAGAGCAAGAGACATAGCTTTTCATGTTGTCTCTGAGCTGTTCTCAGGAGCGTAAGTTCGCATGACTGAATTCGTTTATAGCCCATGATGTAAGAATTCCAAATACAACAAACAGATTTAATTGTAGCTCTTAAGGAATCCATGAGGTGGTGCTTGGGCCTAAAGAAGAAAACACTCAACGCGATGTCGTCATATTTTTTTTTCTGGAGTTGAAGCTGAAAAATACAAAGAGGAATGAATTTTAAATACCTGAAGTTGTGGAACGGATGGCCTGAGCTGGGATCACAAATATTTTTTTTCATGTAAAATCACGGCAACGATCGTATTTTTCAAGATGTGTTCATCACAGCATGAAAAAACGTTATTTCAAAGCCAAGATAGCAAAGACCAAAGCAACTATGCAACAATAAATCCAAACACATGGAACTTAAAAATTTTTCTCAGAAATCAAACATCAGCCCATCCGCCATTACTCCACCATGACTGCTTTACTTAAGAACACCTAAAATATATACCTTTGCGTTTTGACACCGCTGACCAAGCACGAGAAGTTCATTTTGTCCTTGAATAAATGACAGCTACCGATATGTTTGCTCGTCTATTTAACTGACCTTAATTATTCTTATCGCTACCTCAGGGTAATTACGTTTTGATTGAGGCAGGGTACGCAATTTCATTATAAAGCGTCTTGAAGAGAGTGTCTTTCCTAGTCCAAAGTTTTAAATAGAAAGTCGCACCACAAATTCCAGGTTGAATTCCATAAGGCATCGTGACGTCAGTTAGAAGATCTCAAATTTGCTGAAATTTGCAACGACCGATTCCGGTTTGGTTCAATTAATCGCGTGAAATTCTTCTTACAGAATTTCATTAGTGCCCTTCGATCCCTTACTTCAGTTCTACTGACACTTAGTTAAATACCGTTTGTTTGTCTTTGGTCACCTTCATTGTCTCGAATGACTTGATGGGTTTAAGGCACGACTGTTCCCCTCTCTTCCCCTTCCCTTCAATGAGACACCGCTAGGGTCAGGTTCTAACCCTTTAGCCCTAAGAGTGATTAGCGCCTAATTTCTCCTTATAAAATCATCCCCGAATCAAACATTTGGGTCACGAGAATAAAGGAAATGATCACCAACTAAAGAAGCTCTTGATTGTTAGACAAATTCTCCTTGTCGGCACCTTGAGAAATGTATAGAGCATAATATGGAGAGTTTGCATACCGACGTTAGGGTGTAAAAGGTGAAGGGCCCAGGCAGCTCTACTCACTCAAAATTGATCCCCTCGCGAGTGCCCGACGTGTGACCACTATGTATTTTAAGTGTAACACATAGTTTCTAATTCACAAATAGATTCCAAGTTGCCGTGCGTCTGTTCAGTAATAGACCACATTTTGACGTCCTCTGTGATCTATTGCTGAACAGACGCATGGCAACTTGGAATCTGTTTGTTTTATATAATAAAGAATTAAAAAAAGTTTTAATGATGACGTCATCTATACGTCTGTCCTCCAATAGATCATAAGTGAGAACCAATCAGAATGCGTGCATAACTGAGCGTATTATAAAACATAATATACAAAGCCTGTTTTCTTCCTCTTTTATTGTCTCTCGAAGACATACATACATGTCAGACATTGGTTCCTATCAAATTATTTCAACATTATTTCAACTGTACAGCATATAATACACCAGCAGCTTGATCTGAAGACATAGAGAGGTTGTTAGATGAATAACTGCTGTCCAAATACCTGATGGACAATAGTTACACCTTGAGAGAAGTGAACATAGTCATCTTTCCTAAGATGTATAAATTTGAAACATAGCCAACGAGAAAATTTAAATTCTTTGACGAACGTAGATGCCAATGATGAGCTTTAAAATACTTTTACAACACGTGGACATGACAACATTGCACATCTCCCTTTAGAATTTAAATAAACTAACCTACAATTTAAATTAAATTCAAACACTCATCGAATTGCGTGATTGAACGGTTAACCCTGTCACATGACAGAGTTTTCTCCTAACAATTAACTGCTATTTCAATAATTCTGATTTTGAAAAGTCATTAATCAATTTTTATATTTATTAAATTAATCATTTTCAAAGCGATAGATTTAATAATTGCATCAGGGCTTTGATCGGGTGGCATGACAATTTGATGTTGCTACATCCTACATGAACAGTTTTCAGTTGAGTGTCGAAAAAAAACAATACCAAAGTAATTACAGCGACCAATCAGAACAAACGTATATATTATCATAAGCCAATGAGAGCTCAAAGTGAAAATAAGCAAACTGCTTGAAGCGCGGGAAAACGCGAATGAACAAGACGCGATTGTTTTTTTAGTTTTGAATCTAATTGGCTGGGAGGATAGCGCGAGTTTTTTGGACCAATCTCAGAGGAAAGGTAATTAAAAAAAATGCAGCCCCGGATAACTTTCGACAATCAATTGAAAATTACTCTGAAAGAAAAAGAAACTACTCGCTTATTATACGTAATTACTGTGACTACATGTTTTATGCCTGATGTTCTCTAGATATTGTCCTTGCTTATTCATTAATTACTAACGTAGTCTAGTGGTAGTCAGGTGAACTAGCCTTCACATTGGCCGGAACGAAAAAGAGAGCCTGACCAACGAGACATTCGCCAAGATCAGAGGTATCCCTAAGATTCTAATAACTCCTAACCATTCACTTTTGCAAAACACCTTCAGGAACAATTCGTGTGGCTCACGTAACATAACCTACTAGCCTGACTCCAACATCAAACTAATTGCATCTCTTTTGAGAAGTTGAAGGTTCATCGTCTTCACAGGTGGAACAAAAAGGGCAACAAATTTCCACTACAAGTTAGTTACAAAAGGGAGTGACGTCATGAAGATTTTCACCGAGCTTAAAAAGGTACCACGAAACCTAAGCCAAAACCCTTAGAGATGGAAATGATGATCTAAGGCGAACAAACACCGTCTGGTAGATGAGCAAAAATTTGTCTCGAATGCAGAAATGTTTTTTTTTCTTCAGAAGGCCACGCCTATTCGAACGTATTCGACTATACTTAAAGGATGTATTAATACTACGTTGGAATGGCAAGATGTAACAAGTAACTGCATCCTAAACTCATGAAGATGAGGAAAAGTATTGCACCTAATTTCGGGAATTCGCGAAAAAGTGTCAACTACACGGAGTGAAAAGGGGAATCCCTGTAACAAGTGTGGTTTTTCGTTTCGAGTCAAAGGCGTCTATCGCACAGACATGGTCACCCCCCCCCCTCCCCCCACCATGTACCAATCGAGCAAATGACCAGGTGCGAAATCGATGTGAAAGTTTACGAAATTTCAAATGATTGAGAAAAGGGAGCCAATCGTGAGCCATTCAAAGTCGCTCTAACAAGAGTGCTCTGCGTGTACAAAGGTTTTTTTAGCGTACATCGTTCAAAACCAACTGTCTTGGTGTTTAAGCTAATGGGACTCAAAATTACGAAAATATCATGTTTGACTGCACGATATTTCCGGTGACAGGCTTAATTTTTCGATTCAAGTGGTCAAGCGTATTAGTTCGGTCTACTGCTCGTTTACTACATGGATAATTCAGGATAATTCAATCATATCATTTTCCCCCTTTCTTTTTGGAGAGAGGGTATAGGCGAGTTAAATCTATATACCCTTGAATCACAGTCTGGTGTCATCTGCATCACTCTCTTCGCCATGAAGCTCAAGAATCTCTTCAAATGCAGCTGTGACGGCTTTCAGAATGTCCATTTGACTGTTTGTTAGCTGTTGTTTATCCTCCCAGCTTGAGTTATTCACGCCATCGTTTTGGAAATCCTTCGCCTCAGACAGGCTGTCATGGCCTACTTCATGTTGTAGTTCATCAACGCCTTGTGCTGTGGAGGACTTTGTATCTCCTTCTGATTGAAGAACTTCCTCGGTCTTCGGAGCTAAACTCGTTTCGCTTTCTACACAGCTCGGTTCAGGATCGCTATTTTGCGTGTCGTCATTGGAAGGGTTCGTTTCCCTGTCTACCCCTGCCACACTATCACTTCTTACTGAGAGGTCTACGGTATCTTCTGGTGTGTAGAATCCTTCATCCGAAGAATATCTTTCCAACTCTATGCCTTCGTCCACAGTTTCCTGAGATTGTTCGCCATCTTGTTGGAGCCACGAATTATCTCCTGCATGTTCACTGGCTGGCAGATCGTCGGAAGAAAGTTCAGTGTTAAGAGACTGTAATTTCTCAGCATCTTCACAAGAAACTTCCAACGATTCCTTCGCGTGATCTTCACCAGTGTCAGCAGCGCCAAATGTGTGAATAACCTCTGATTCTTGACCAGGAACTCGTACATTAAGTTGACTTGAACTGTTTAGAGCGATTTCCTCTTGGGTTGTATCATGTAAAATATTGCTATGTTTAGCCACTGTACTGGTGGTATAAGTAGAGCCGCTCAACTCTCCACTCTCTGAATCTGAACCTGTTGATTCAGGCACTACCTGGGCTTCACGTTCCAAAAACATTTTTTTCTCATCCTCCCCAAGTCCAGTTTCTTCGTGAGAGCCCTGAGTTTTCCCTTGAGCTAAACCAAGATCATTCTCTACGGAGACCTCTGCTTCAGTACAAATGTTGCTGTTGGAGTAATCGTTGTGAATACTTTGGGGATCGTGAGGTGTGACGTCCGTGGTCCTGTCTTCATCCCTTTCGCTAAAAGCAGACTTCTCTACATCCAAAACGAAACTACCCTTTTCCGACTGGTCTTCGTTACTCTCGAGCGAAACCTGAACAGTACTGCCTTCTTCGCTTGTGGCTATCACTGGCTCACTGACCTCCTTATCCTCCATTTCTCTCCAAAACTGGTCATTCCCCTCCTCGACAACATAAAACGAGCTATCGCCCGTTTTAGTGTCACTCAAACGATCAGCATGGACCAGAGATGGCTGCATGTCCACCGCACTTCTCTCTTGAATTAATTTTTCATCAACAGCTTCAGCTTGGACAGTTAAACGACTTGTTACAACGTTGCCCAACGACTCCGCTGGTAATTCATTCTCTTGAGGCTGGAGAGTTGAATGACTAGCGACAACGCTGCCCAACGACTCTGATGGTAATTCCTTATCTTCAGGTTGGAGAGTTGAATTACTTGTGACAACGCTGCCCAATGACTCTGATGGTAATTCGTTATCACTTGCCTCCCCAAAGTCCTCAGTTTTGATCCCGTTCATGTCCCTCACATGCCCTCCAAACTCTGCACTTTCCTCTTTCCTGCTCGTTACTATGAGATCCTGACTCTCCCCGATAACAGGTTGGCTACTCTTGACAAGATCTTCATCAACACCACCACTATTGACGGAAGCTACCAAAATTTCTCCATCGACTTTTAACGTCTTGTCATTTTCTACAGTCTTAGCAGCATCTTGTTCCTTTTGGTTAACATCCTCCATATGTTTATCCGGGGTAGTGTCATCACATATACCCGAAGACCTATTCAATAACACACCATCTTCATTTTCCTGCAGAGTAATTTTCTCGAATTCCGATGACATTTCCATGGCAGGGCTTTCTACTTCATTTATTTCGTTGCTTTCATTACTAGTTAAATTATCACCAACACCGCCATCACTTTGGGCAGCCAGCTGAGAACCAGGGTGAAGAGCTTGCGTGACATTCTCATACACGTGGTAAAGCTCTTCAGGATTGCTTTCGGCCACGGCGGAAGCAAACGCCAAGAAATTCTCGTAAATATGACTCAAGTCTTCAATAAGAGACATATTGTCAACGTTTTTGCGAGTGCCTTCCAAAGTCTCAATCTCTGAAGCCATTCCTTCAGTTGGCGACGAACCAGCGTCCGTTACCTCCTGATCACTGGGTGACGGCTCATCTTTCATCGAACTCACCGCGGTCTCGTTGTTCGAATCAATTGGTGCTGATCCTGATGAACTAGACGTGGCTGATTCCCCTTCTACACTGGTCACGGTGTCAATCGCTGAAGCAAAGACACTATCAGCTGAGCAAATCGAGAAAGTTTCAGTGAGAGACAAAGAGTCTCCTGTCGGGGACAGGGAGGGTCTGAGTTGGGGTGACGAAAACTCGCTTCCACTGAAACCTGTAAGATATAGCAATAATAAAATTAATAAAATTAAAATCGGACCAACGAATGACATGTGGAAAACGACTAAACGGAAAGAAAACACACAGAACAACTGAGGGACTGGTCTCTATTAGTCGCCTGAAAAAAAAAAGGGGGGGGGGGCGGGAGAGGAAGGCGGAGGGACTTGCTTATGTCACAAAAAAAATTTACTTGATCCCCACATAAGGCTCCGAAGTATTCTAATGATCACCCCTAATTGGCACTCAACTTGCAGTTTAGTTTCCTGTTTGAGCTCAGTTAGAAACAACTTATTCCCTCTCTGTTTCCTTTGGAAACCATGTGACCCTCCAAAAAAGTCCTCCGACCCCACGTAACCCCCCTCCTCCCATAGCGATAAATAATGACTGCTCCCCAAATGGAGTAAAATGGAATTAATGGAGGATAGGATGAACGGGAAAGATGGCTAGAGGGTATAGTTAGTGACAACAAACGATGGTGTTTACCACATAACCTTTCAAGAGTGAGCAATGACAGTGAAAGAAATATAAAGGCTTGTTAAACACAAACTTGTCCAAGTTGTTTTTTACTAACTCACCCGCTGTATCTACGGTCCTTTCTGAACTTAAAGAAGCGCTCCGTCGGAGATGACGTTCGCTCCGGTCCTGAAGAACGGCGATTTTAACAGAGATAACTGTTGTCCACTTCTCGAGATCTGTGCGGGTCAGCGCTTGAAAAATCGCACAGTTTGTCTCGTCAAAATCGATTCTAAACCTGTAAACGCAAGCTTCAATATCGCTGGTATCCACAACCTTGGCTTTAAATAGAGGAATCACCTTGACGGGGTCGAGCGCAGCTTCGTTTTCGTACACGTATAAATGGTCGTCTTTCTGCACACACCACCTTCGCACTTGACTGCTATACAAGTTGCGCATGATAACCTCCATCAAATGGCCGCTGTATTTACCATCACTGTCAAACAGGGTGCCGCACGAGAATCTTTTCCAGGCTCTGTTAGCGGCAATCCTCCCTGATCGTTCCCTCATTTTTACCTCCAGTTTTTCTTGGGACGCGCGCCACGGTGCTTTAAACGACTCTGAGCGGTTAAACATACGAAAGAACGAAGAATCTTCGGTTGCTCTTCGTGTGAGCTTTCGCCCACTCGCCCTTCCTTCGCTTAACACTTCGAGAGCGTTCTTTTCTTTCTCGGCTTGTTTCGATTTCAGATCGTTCCAACTCGCAGATCGCCTACGTTCTTCTTTGCTTTTCACTTTTGATGGAGTCTTAAACAGCGGTTGATTTGCCGCTATAGAGTGACAATAGCGCGCTAACACACTCAACCAGTGCCTCGCGGAGTCCTCATCAATGACTTTGAAACTAAGCTTTTTCTCCCCATGCGAGACGCAAAATTCAAAGACACCCATATCCATGTCGCTGAGATCCTGAACCGTCATTTTAGACAGTTCCCACTCAAAAGAAGCTTTTGATGAGTTTTGGTTATCGTACACAAGAAATTTCTCGCTGGTAGCTATGCACCACCGGCGAATGTGGGTACGAGCACCTTTGGTGTCACGTATTTCTTGAAGATATCCACTCATTAGTCTATCAGTGGAACTCGTAGAACTTAAAGACCCTTCTTTCAACGGCGTCGATGGAGGCGTTTCGTCTCCTTGTGACAACATCTCACTGCGAGTTCGCCGATGCAAAAGTTTCTTCTTTGCGAATGTTGGCGAAGTTAATCGACCGACGCACTTCGGTCTGTCTTCGTCGTCGCTCGAGTTCCGACGCTCGACCGAGGAGACCAGCATTTTGAGCCATCTGTTATGATCAAACTTATCACACGCGTCGAAAACAAAGCTTTCGCTACCATAGAGAACTTGAAATCTGTTTGGACAACTTTCAGTATCGCTCAAATCTCTGAAAGTGGCCATCCAAAGTGGTATTTGGTAAAGAGAGTCAGGCGCCTTACGGTCCGTAAAAATTAAGAGTTCTTTCTCTTTGATGGTGCACCATCGTGAATTTGTGGAGCCATCTGGCTCGACTTGTGTTAAGAGTCCACCAAACACAGCCAAAGTATCTATATCGGGTTCTGGGAGGGAAGATCCTTCACTTGATATACTATCCAAGTCGTATGTGTGCGTCTTTCGAAAAATATCTCTCACATTTACTTTTTGTGACAATTTCATCCTCAGTGACGACCTGACCTTTCCCGGCGCCAAAGAGTAAATTTCATCCTTCAGTTTGGTGGCAGCACGAGCGCTTTTTGTTAGCAATGATCCCCGTTCAAAGAATCCCTCTCCTTCCTCAGCAGCCACAGCGTCAGTTTTCTTGTGAGTCTCGGCAACTTCTGGTGGCGGTCTTTCAACACGAAGCTCGGTAAATAACTCTAGCACTCCCATCCACTTCTGAAAATCTTCTTTGACTGTCGTTTGCAAGGTTGTTTCTTTGCCATCTTTGTCCTCTAGAGTAAAACTAAACTTTTTTCTACTCTCGTCACTCTTATTAGTCAACCACATGTCCACTAATGAAAGTTTTCCTTGCGGTGTATCTTCGTTTTCGCTATTGAAAAGAATCAACACTCCGTTCTTGACAACACACCATCTTCGTAAATGTGTCGTCCCAAACTTATTCTGCCTAACTTCGGTAAGATACCCACAGAAGCGACCCTCTTTGTCGAACAAAGCCATTAAATGGGCAAATGTTTGTGAATTCTTCCGCCTCATGCTCAGGCTTTTGTTTTTAACGTTCTCCGTGTGAGTAAACGTAGAGACATTTCCTCGTAATCTGTAATCATAAGAGTTGCCCTTTGCTAATGATTTCTTTTTCAGAGTGCCTGTCCACCGCCTGTCTTTTTTGGGGGAAGAATCCTCGCTGCCATCCTATCATGGAGAGAAAAAAAAAGAGAGAACGTGAGGTTTTAAGACAACCATTTTCTCACCCTAGCATGCCGATTAACAGAAGCACACGACCTTGAGAATCAGGCTGTGCCCAGCTTAGTTGGAGAGGTACAACAGAACAAAAGGAAATGTTACCAGGGGGAAACGAGAGAGAAGATTGAATAAACGCAGAGGGACTAAGGAGATGGAAATCTGCGACTGATTTTACTTTTGCATCTGATTGCTTGAGATGGCGGCGTGAGGTTTGTTTCACAATCGAATAAAATGGTGAAGAAAAACCAGCGCAGTCTCCTCTTGCCGACAGTAACAACGCGGTAACCTCGAGCATATTCATCATTCCGAACTTCGAAAGAGTGTCACGTGTTTCAACCTCACAGAGGCTAACACCCAAACGTGCATTTGATCGTAAGGCGGTAAACAATTTTACATGCGGACATATACAACAAGCAGCAGCATTTATTGCTCGAGTAAATCATCTCACCTTAGCACTCTCTTTGGCAAGAGAAACGTATTCTTCATTCATTGGTTCGGCTTTAGCTTGGCCATCAATGGACTCACTAATAAACATGCTGTGAGGAGGGCTCATGGTCGAAGGGGTCTCTGAAATGACAGTTACAACATTAGTAAAACCATAACATTACCGCTGGCAATGCTCGCTGATTTACATTTACCCTGTTCACAACAAAATAGCAGATAAAGCACGTCAACCAAATAAGATTCACACAGGAATAGCAACAATCGCCACGTGGTTTTACTTCATAAATTAGCGATGGGTTTCAAAACATTTGGGGTATGAGATTTACTTCACTCATGAGAAATTGTACCACGTACCACATAATAGATCATTTCGTTGGTAAAACCATGATTAACTGCTGAAAGATGACCAGTTTAGAACAACAATAGAGCATTGATCCAAAGTACAGGCACGTAAGAGCATTTCTAGACAACTCTCCTCCTACATGTCAAAGCCATGCAACTCTATGTACATTGTACCTTTATCGCGCCTTAACGTGATACACTGGTGCGCTGCCTGAAAAGCATAACAATTTATCTCTCTTACTTGTTCCTTCCTTTGGCTTCTCTTTCCTCTTCTTGTGCACTCTCTCTTTCACCTCGGGCTCTGGAGACTGTTTGACTCCGCTTTCCTGGCTATCAGGCTGACTTGGGACGGACTCGACGTTTCTGAAAGTTAAATAAGTTGGTCCGTGACTCTGTTCAAAAACTGATGTCATTTTCCCTATTTTTAACACACAATCAACTTGGCTTACACTAAATTAATATCTTAAGAAAATGGATAAAATCGTATTGTTTTCAACTTCGCATGCAGCTGGTCTCATGCGCTTATAGAAGATAATCAAAACTGGAACAGCGCTAACAATCTTTTAACTGGCACAAGTGAACAAACCTTCGATCGTTTGGCGGTGTTGTCCTACTCTCTTCATCGGGTAATCTGTTCTTTGCTTTGATTCTGCCGATACTGCTTCCTTTTTCTGAAGAGGCATCCAATTCCTCCTGAGTATCTGCACCGTCATCATCAGAGAGCCTCCCCTGATAGCAGATAACAAAGTTAATAATCATCAGATTACGCGACAAACTCAATGACTTGGGGTCGTACACCATTTTTGTTTAAATAATAATAAAAAAACGTTGACCTTGACTGGCTAATGCACATCACAGTTTCCCCTCGAGACTTTACGCGCATGATACATCTAAGATTTTGTTTAAAAGCAACCGAGTTAAATCGATGTTTTGGTCCATATCGTTAACTTCGTTCGTCCTTGTAACTAAATAGCTGGCCTCCAGACAAAAAGTACCAGACTCGAACCCCTGTATGTGCCTGTTTTTGGGCAAGACACTTTTTTTTCTCACAAAGCTACTGTCCACTCAGGAGGAGAAACAGGTACGGGAAATTGTCAGGGAGACCTGACGAAATACTGGTGGATGAGTGGGAGGGAGAGTGATCTGTGATGGACTAGCAATTCATTCCTAGGGAGTTTGAATAAGCTGTACTAGTAGTCATTTCACGCTGTGGAATATGGGAGAAGATCTGACAGCGTAGGTCACAAGGCTCGTTCAGAAGACTTGATTTGCGATAAAGACTCCCACACACAACATGCGAGTATTGTACTGACAAGGCAATACTACTTTCATCAAATTCACTGTCTCACCTCACTACTTAGTAAGGACTCCCTTGACATGCTTTGTAATTCATCTCCAGACTGGTCAGCACAAAAGTAAGGTGGATATGGTGCGATTACATCTGGCCTTGCCGTGGCCGCTAGAGACAGAACCTCAATCCACCGTTCAATTGACACCCGTGAATCTGTGGCAAAGTAATGTGTATCCTGGCTTGGATGAGAGATTTTGATGCAGTAACTCTTCTTTGATTCCTTATTGTCAATCAGACTTATATCATAACCGAGGATTGGAAAATTTAAGCTTGCTTTCTGGTCATCTGGATTGCTGAGAAGAAATGGCACAAACATAATCAGTACGAAACTCATATATCACATATCACATCGCGTATCCATATCACTCAAAAACGATTTTTTTTCCCATTATATCGATATATTTTCAAGCAAAAAGGTGATAGGAAGAAAGGAAAATATCAACTGATGTAAACTGTTTGATATCACATCAAACTCTTGGGGCTAAAACTGTCAAATATGTATGGCAGACACTGTAATGAACTGATATTAAGATCTAGGAAATAAAAGAGTCGCTACAATTCCTTTAGCCCTTTAATTCCCAGAAATCATTAACCTTTGACTTTCCCTACAATACCCATACATTATCAAGCAAACTGGTAACCAGAATACTCAAAACTAATAGGTATAAGTTTTTGCCTTGATCCAACACCAAATTCTTGTGATTAATTCACGAGGAAATGTGCGGCAGCTAAAGGAGAAAACTAACAATCAGATCCTGGGAGTCAAAGGGTAAAGACTGGAATATACTGCAAAGACAAAATATATTTTCCCTGTTCCCTCACTTTGATTGAATTTGCCCCTAAACATTGGTGAGCTCTGTTTTCTGTGACTGTATAGGGGGAAAAGAGGTATTATGTTGAAGAATGGACAATTATTTCCCATTCTTTGTCATTGGGAAACACGTCTTGAGTACTCTTTGACTCCAAAAACTAAGGTTCATCATCCATAATCACACTCTTATGGAATGCTGGGTTGAGAGCAGTTAAACTTCGGGGAATACTGAAATAAATTGACCACAGCAGTAGACTGTAAGAGATACACATAAAATGGACAACATAATATGCTGTCACACTTTCACCACAGTGATCTTTACACAATTCTGGTACAGCCTATTGCACTAAAGTGAGAGAACTTTCTGCTTGATTTGTAACTCACCGGTAACACTTGAATCTATTGTCAATAATCTTGCAATAGCGTTTTGACCAGACTCCCAGCCTGCGCTTCTGATACAAAATCCCACTATGCATGGCATCAGGATCTTGAAGAAACTTCTGCTCCGCTTCAGCTGGAACAAGCTTTCTTCTCCTTTTCACCTTGGGACCTAAACCTTTGTTAGTTTCAGTTGTCTGTGACATAACAGAGACAGTTGTAGTTTCTTCTGCATCAGAGCCTATTGATTCCATGCTTGCACTGAGCACTGTGGAGGTTCGTTTTCGTGAATATGTTTCGGTTGTTTCCTCCTCTTTTGGTTCAGAGCTCACAACATCATCACATGCTATAGGCTCAATGTAGCTGTGTCTATTACTAATATTTCCACTGTGTTCACTATGACTGTCTGTGAAATCCATTGAATGGTCATTTGTTGACCCATCTTCACAAATAGAATCCTGGCTTTTGTTTGTTTCACTGCGTTTACGCTGTCCAGCTGAGAGTTCTGCCAACAAATCAGGAGGAATTGCATCATAAATTTTCTTCTTTTCTTCAGCTTTTTTAGATGATCCTTTGCTCTCTGCACTTTCGTCTTCATCTGAGCTGCTTTCTGATGAGGAATCATCCCCAATAGGGATTGGAGGAAGGGGGGCATCATAGCCTTCACCTTCATCTTCCTTGAATTCTGTTGTTTCTGGGGTACTGTGAACGAAAGGCATCCCGCTCTGGTGGGAAAACAAAAAAGAGCAATGTAAAAGGATTGCAAAACATTACCTGCGACAAAAAAGAAATTCAATCACAGTTAGCTATCAATGAATAGGTCATAAAATATAAACACTGGCTTTAAAAAAACTTACAGTACATGCAGTGTTCTTCCTTTTCATAAGCAGGACAGGTAAAAGAAGTTTTCAAACTTTTAGAGCAATTCTTTTACTTGTTGAATTTTCAAGAAGCCCATGCAATTTTAGGCAGTAATAAGAGGTACTAAAGATGAAAAATTTTACTGGTTGCTGCCTGAAAGGGATAACACTGCTCACGTAAATGTCACCAATTGATGGTAAACTACATCTTAAAACAAAGGAACAGGTCATAATTTCCTGGGAGGGTATTGGGTTTTTGAAAACATACTGCACCTTCATTATCAACCAATGCAGCCATTGGTGGGGGAAAGAACAGGTTGCATGACCTCATCGAACAACAGCTGCTAGTGAGACTAATGAGCAAAGAGAACACTTACCACATTGAAGTCTACTGGTTTTTCATAAATGTCTTCCAATTCTTCCTCTTCCTCCTCCTCTATTCCACCATCTATTTCAGCAGAACGCATCCGTTCTCTTGCTTCCTCTAAGCTAAATAAACCCTCTAGAGGACTAATGGGCCTGCCGAGACTGCTGCGCCGTACAGCTGCTGCCATAATCGCACTCATCCATGGAGATAGGTCCTGGCCATCCTCAATGGCTAATGTCACCCCAGGCCCATCAGATGGAGTAAGTCGAAAACTGTAACTGATCTTCTTCTTGTCATCAACTCCTATTTCACATTCAGGCAGACATAGTATCATGATAGCAGGATCCTCTTGATTCTTGAAGATGTGTAAGCGATTACCCTGTAATACACACCAGCGTCTTTTGTTCGCCTTGACATCTTTCAGGTAACCTTGAATAACAGGTTCTCGTAGGGTTGATGCATACACTTCTTCATTCAATTTTGTTTCTTTCTTAAACCTGAAAGAAACAAGAGGGGATTTTTAACCATTAAAAAAAACTTTAATAACCCTGGCTTGTACATGACTTCATTCTTGTAATTTTAAGTCAAGCACACCAGTTATATGGCTGCCACCATCACTCACATCTCCCATTAAAATAACCCAAAAAAGTTTGAAATAGAAGCAACAAAATGATACCAAAGTGTAATAGGAAGATTGGAAAAGCCTTTTGCTGACCAAAGACATTTTACAACATTCCTCTAAATCTTTTGGTCTCTTGGAATTTCTGTTGGGCATGCAGCAAACTGGGAAGGGAACAAACTTACTGATATTAACTTGTCATATTGCTGTACTTACCATACTGTAGAGAGTTTCCCCTTGCCTCCAGATCCCCTCAAACTTCCTGTGCGAGCTGGTAAATAGATACTTGATGTATGCTCTTGGGGAGTCTTAGGGGGACTGGGAAAGACAAAAGAGTCTTCAGTCTTAGAACTTGCTTCACCCTCCTGTCCTTTCGAAGACTCAACAGGAGAGATGCTCTTTAGACTAAGATGTTCATAGATGTCATCTTCATTACTGCTTGTACTTATGATAGAGTCTCGCACATCCTGTAATGAAAAAACTTGAATTAATTACCCCATAGTGGAGAGCAAGCCTCTGCAGCTAACAAGAACAACAGCTGACTCTAAGTGATAAAGGTGATTAACAAAATCAGACAACTGCAAAGAGGGAGTCTGATTGATCTATTACAATGTAAATTGACATGAAGACAAAGTGTAAATGAAGAGAGAATGTCTATTTTTTTTTTAAAAGTGTGTTTAAACTTTTAAACCCCAACATCAGTATGCTTATTATCTATACTGTTTCTCTATACATTTACTAAGGTGCTGACAAGGAGAATTTGCTTAACAATCAAGAGCTTATTAAGGACATGTAAGTAATGATTTCTTCTATTCTTATGAATATAATGTATGATTCAGGAGTGATACTGTAAGGTGTAATTTGACACTAATTACTCTTACAGATAAAAGGGTTTACAAAACAGTGCTTTGGACTGAATAAGCCTCACTGCAACAAGCTATTGTCTGCAACACAAGTAGTCTCTGTCTTTGAGTATTTTGTTGAACTTTTAAGAAAAGATTCTAAGCTAGGTACCATGTAACTTATTTGAGGGAAGATTTCCAAGATCCTCTCTCTGTGGTCAGTTTGTGAGACTGAAACAAATTGACCAACATCACTGCAAATATCATGTTCATATTTATTGACCAACATGTGTGAGGAACTTCCTGATTATGAGCTTAAAATTCAAAATTGAAGTTATCAGAACAGGGGTAAATATCTAAAAGGAACAGACGAGAAATCCAATTATCCACAATCAGCCCAAAGCTAGTTGTTCTTTGCTTTGCACCTTAGCCTTGTGTACATGATTATGTCTAGCACAACTTACCCCTGGGTTTCAATGCTCATGTATGAGGGCAGTGAATCAAAACCAATACAAATGTATAGAAGAATCTGACTGGAATGTAATTGGTTTTTCTTGGAAATATTTTGACTGAATCAATCAGCCCTCATTACTCTGTTGAAGTGAGTGGCTAAACAGCATTAACCTATGTAACCACTTAATTGGAGCAGCTCTCTAATAAATATGATAGGACATCTTTGCTTAAAAACTAATACAAGACTGAAGTCCTTCCAAGAATCAACTAAAAATGACTAACAATCAAAGCTGCAAAAATCTTATGGCACAAATAGCATACAAAATCACACATATACCATTATCTTAAAATGAACATTGTTAAAGGAAAAAAATATGTTGCAAACCAAATAATATTCATTGGTGCCATCAAAAATTGTTTACCTCTGCTCATGTTAAGAGATTTCAAAGAATAACCTGGCTGTTTGGAAATTGTTTACAAATGTGCTAATTCAACAGCAGGCACTGCAATTTTGAAAAATAACCCAGAAACCTGGCCATTTGTGCAAACCACAGCATGTAGCAACTGTATTGTCAGTGTCCTGTTTATCACAAAATGTAATCATTTGAGTCATAAATGCCTTTTTGTGCAGCTCCTAATTGTTCCTCTGCTCACCAAGGGGAAAAAAACAAAAGGGATGTTTGATAGCTTCCATTGATATCTTTCAAGATTATGCAACAATCTTTCCATCAAATGTCTAGATTTGCAATTGGATTTGGAAAGCATACCTAAGTATAGCATACAACAATATACAATAATACCAAAGTTCAAAATAAACTCAATGCTGACAATTCTTTAGGAATTAGTACCAAATGAAAGCACAGATTTGCTTCATGACTGCTTGAGATCAAAATTACTTGTAAGCTTCAACATTTGGTTGTTTGGATTACCTTTAAATCATGGTATTACGGAGTCATATTGTACATTTCCTTAGATAGCTTATTTATTTAAAATACAAAAATAATTTGTTTTCATTTATCTGTGTATAGAGCTATATACAACCATAAAATAAATAAAATTAACTAAAATGAGTTTTGGGATGAAATTTCTTGTAACTGACCATAACAGAAATCTGCTAGATATAAAGTTTTTGGTATAAACAACTACTAAGAACAATTCTGATATTAGTTTAGAATAATTATGATTTCATTTAAGAATTCTATCAATTTTTCATTTAACTCTAAGGAGTTCAATTGTCCTTGTATAGTCGAGGGGATACCATAATTTGATTATGTAATTTCATCATTCTGCTTGCATCTTAACGAATCTTTGCTCAGAATACAATTATTGACCCTTACTTGGCACCAAAATGTCTTGTAGGGTATCAATTTCAAAGCACAAAGTAAAATAATTAGTCACCAAACTTCAAAATATAATAACACATCAGCTTCTTAGATCAAAGAAAAATACACACAAACAGCAAATTTGTTTGCGCATGATGCAATCTGCATGAAGCTATTTGAAAAATTGGGCCAAAGGGAGAGACAGCCTTAATAAAAGTTAAATGTCCCATTAATTGCTTTAGATAAAAAAGATTGTCTGAAATATTAACAATGCCAATACAAATTTGACGTAACAGGAGAAAGCCACAGATTTCTCACTTTCACAGTTTACTTTAAAGAGAAATTTTTAAGGCATAGTCAGGAGATGCCACAATGGAACCAAACTCAAAACATGACATTCCTTTACTGTGATACCAAATTTGACATTTTTAAGAACAGTGCATCAACTTAATAATCCACATTAAGCTGAAGCTCTGGCCCTTTAAGGCGAACTTCCAAATCATCAAAAAATTCCCAGCAGTTGGGAATTGTGTGTCAGAGATCAAAAAAGAACTGACCAAGGAAAATTGTGTCAATATTAACACCTTGTTGACAATTCAAAAGATGACAGAAAGCTCTGACAACACTGATCAAAGCTTTAGAAGGTGCTCTCAAATGTGTCTTGGATGATGACATGGTCTAGTGACACTGTCACAATAACACACTTTTCACTCAAATTAGCATAGCCCTGTCTATCCATGAAACCTTCCAGAAATTTCTAAAGAATGCAATCAGTTCCTCACACTTTCACACACTCTGGAATATAAAACCTACATCACTTTGTAATAAAGAGGATAGAGGGAGAAACTTGCTTTACACAATAAAAATTTATCTTGAGCCAAAAATTTGTAAACAAAATGCTCTAAAGGTGAAAGATGTGACAGCAGATTTTTTTCAGTACTCTTGTCTTCCATTGATTTTGCAATTAATTGCTTTCCTTAGGATAACATTTACAATTTCTTTTGCCCTATACATCTTTGTTATTTATAAACATGACATGGTTTGACCCATTCCCTTTTAAGAAAAGACCAGAAGAATATTTTAAGCCCATTAACTTGGTGGCTGTAGATAATCTTTGGATCATATTATTGATCACAATGACAATTTTAACATAAAATATAGACATTGATCTGAGATATGTGCTTGGATTCACACAAAAAAAGTTTTCATATACATATTTCGCTACCCTGTCTTTTACAAAAATAATTACTGGAGTTGATTAAAATAGTTTCAGATTAAAATGTAGTTCATGTATATGTTTTGGATTTAGTTTTCTACTGACTAAAAGTTAACTGCTTTCAATGTATTTAAGTGATTAGGTCCTAATAGAGCACTGATATTGAAGCAATTATTTTCAAAAGGATACAACAACTTAGAGCCTATTCTATTCCCATAAAAATATGTCAAGACAGAGCAGTTACTTAATGTTTTGTTCCTGCAAAAAACTGAAGTTGGACGATAGTTTAGAGCCCGAAACTCGAATTGTAACTCTCTGTATATAGTGTTCCACTCTGCATACTAAAAAGTATGCAGAGTGACACATTCTAGATAATCTACATATATTGTAAAACTTCATATATTCTCAAACAAAAAAGGTGAAAAATGACATACATTTCTATGTATATTTTTCTGTGGCCAAAAGTTGAACGACGATATAATTTTAAAGGGTGGATGTACCTTCCTTTGACACAAAGAAAAGTCGTTTTCATGAACAGTAGCAGGTTTATTTAAAAGCCCACAGAACAAAAGAGCTTTTGTCTCTCTCAAGTTAAAAGAATGACGAAATTATATTTGAATGGCTAAACCGTATAAATAGAATTCGTGTTGAAAGACAACGGACAGAAATTAAAGGACGAAAAGCATTCTTATCAGATTGACTTTGTAAGTTTCAATCAGTTTATCGCTGTTGAAATCTTCACTTGAACTGAGAGATGATAGATTTCTTTCCGAGCGATAACTTCATCAACAATAAAATTCCACAATCCTTGAACCGATTCAACTCGGTGCGTCAAATCAATCTTAATTCACTTTATATCAAAAGAAAAACGATATTCACACCATGCACTTTGCATTTGACTCACAACGTGTAGGACGCTAGTAGAGAAGTCGGCTTCGTGCTTTCAAAATTAGTTCACGTTTTTATGCCGGTGCTACAATTTGCCGCAGGGAGGACTAGCATAACTCTGAATAATAAATACAGTCACGTACGAGAGGTTACTGCATAACAAACTTATGTATCAACGCCATGCCATGACACATCCAACGCGAAACGCCAGAACATTGTATTCAACAACAACATTCACTCTTACCCTTGTATTTCCCGACCTCTGAATATACAAGCCTCCGTTGCGGCTTCCTTTCTCACCGAACAAAAAAGTTTGTGGAGGCAAAGCTTTATGGACAGTTGTAGCTCTGGATAGTTCACGTTGCTGTGAAGCAAACTCGACTGGGTCTATCGTTTTCTCGTTTTTATAAACACTATTTTCATCTTGGGAGCCGCTTCCGGAAGGACCGTCGTTTTTCTGTAGTCGAGCGCGATAAATTTCACCCAAATTTGCAGGTCTCGGGGGCAAAGATGGCGGCCTTGATACACTCTCTAATCTTCTAAGAAATTCAATTCGTTGTTTATTCGCTTCGTCACTCAATGGCTCGCTACCAAGAACCTCTTTGAGAAATTCTTCCAACCCGGGTAGCGTTTGGTTGATAGCTGTCGATGGAGAGAGTTATGTTAGCACGGAGGTTTCATGTTGTCGAGGCCTAAAAAGCGCCCATAAGAAGACGCCGATTAAAAGATCACTGAGTCTAAGATGTTTTCAATACAACTACATAAACAAGTGAGAGCTCTGAAAACTTCGTAGACAAATAAAAAGCATAGGAATAATAATGGAAGAAGAAGATACAAAAAACACGCAGGCAAAATAGAAGATGAATTGTGAAAGCGTCGAGCTCACTAACGAAAATCTCACCGATAAAGCGGTCATGTTTATCCATTCTGCACTAGTCAGCCAAGTCCTATATTTCATCGTTTAAATCAACCCATCTTGTGTTTCGCAAAGTACAACGTTAAAAATCCTACTTCAAAAACAAACGACTCATCAAATCCACCGCCATGTTTTTCTTGCCCGAAAGGAAACTTTCGTCTGTTGACTTTGCGATCAGATGACCAACAGCTCGTATTCTGATTGGTCGTTCGTTGATTACGACTTGGCCGCTGCTTGGCAGTTCATGATCAAAAATGACGGATTATCTATGTACTACTGTGTAAATGCAACAAAACTGAAGTCCAAGAATAAGAAGATTCTTGTAAGGAAGTTCAAATAATACTTTTAGCCTTGCTTTTTCGAGCGAGAAATAAGCGGGTTTGTGGCATTCAAAGGCGGCTGTTGGCACCCTTTTTATAATCTGTTTATTTTAGTAATAGTTTGGTAGCAACAATAGCAGAGAAGTTGCCCAGCTGTCATGAAGGTGAAAAGATACCGAAAAATAAAAATGAAAAGGAGTTGATTGAAATAGGTGCTACAATCGAGAATCGATAACAAAGATCGCCGATCTTGCGTTAATAATTTTACTAAATCAAGGGAACAGCAATGATAACCAATTAACCAAGTTATATTTTGCAGAAACCGTTAAAACGGAAATCTGTTCAATCTGAATGTTCCCTGTTTTCGAGGCACTTTAAGGCATTTTAGATTATGCAACCATTCACAAGCAAAATTTATAGTAAATATCAAATGATGCTTATGATTTTAATCTGAACCTTTATCGAGCAAATGGAATGCATGATCAATTTGTATGATATGAGTGCTTTCGATTCGGGTCAACTGATCGTCACGAGTAGAAGAATATTCAATCACACTTGTATCATCGACAATTTGATAAAAATATATTGAAATCCAACGCTAGTTTCCAGTTTTCCTTTCGTTTTTCTTATCCCCATTTTTAAATGGTTTTATTTTGCCGTCACTCATTCACTCCGGAAGTTTAAAATTCGTCCCACCCAGGTTTGGAATTAAACGTAAAACTTGTTTTTGGCGTCCACAAACCCAAGTATGCAAGAATCATGGATAATCCCTGTAAAGCCACTTGAACGAGAGAGGTCTCCGAGATCAGTTTAAAATTCTTCAAGCGCGAAAAAAAAAATGGAACAAATGTCGAAATAAAACAAACTTTACAGCTAAGAAAGTACGTTAAACGATGAAGCACAAGATCGCGGTATACATTTAAGAGATATTTATAGCAGTTTCGATCGGACCAGTTCGATGTATCACTTTCCTATCATTCACTGAATTAAGTGAGGCCTATCGTATATACATTCTTCACTGACGTTTACTAAATATATACAAACATCTGTCAATTAAAATAAACCATTTGAAAACAGTCTGGCCTGTCTATCAGTGTAATCCCTCTTCCCTAACAGATTTCTTTTAGTTTGATGATGTCGCTACCGGAGAGTTTCGACGCTTCACTTCTGTATTAACACGATAATAAATATCGCTAAAAAATCTAAAATTATCACTATGGCACTAGTGACCTGTTTCCGCTTCATGCCTTATTAACCTGGTTAATGATCATTCCTTTCGTCGGCCCGCTCCCTTAGGGGGTTGTCGTCGGAAAGAGAAAGCCGATATTCCGCCGATTTAATTTTCGCTCCCCATCGATTATACAACCCGTAGCAATTTTTAGATGAAGCTAAAAAAATCCTCTTTTATTTTTCTCAGACTTGAACTACAATAGTGATGTTTTAGTTACATGCCGTCTAATCACCAACTCTTACACCAATTTGACCCGATCACCTCAGTTTATACTTCGCACCATTAACTTTTTTCCCTCAAGCAGTTGACCTAATCGGGCCAGTGTATAGCTAATTCTACTCATAAACTTGAAAATTTTAGTGGCCACAATTGGGCGTCGATAAGCAAGCCAACCGGAACGATTCCCGACCTTTAATTGAGCCTTGTTATAATCTTTTGCCGACTGAAAAAGACATCAATAAAAAAGTAGGAAGAGCTAATTGATTCCATTACTTTCCCTTGATGGCAGTGAATATGTTTAATTATTTTTTTCTCAGTTCGTGAGCGAGCGTTATTCTACAAATCCTGCAATCTGATTGGTTCCGAGAGCGGGCAGTATTCTCCCCATCCGGCCCGCTCACGGCTCAATAGGTTCTTTTCGCAAACATTTGTTAGGTTTTAGGAAAAAATAAAAATGAAAAAAATAAAAAATAATAAAATAATAAAAAAAAATTAAAAATAAAAAAGAGAGAATCAAAGAGGGATCTGAGCCCCTCTTGTCGAGACGACACGTAAACACTCTTAAAATTGCGCGTGTTGATGTAAGTCAGGTATACGTGCAGTACGGTCGGACTGAGTTGAGCTACGATGGCAGCATCTAGAAAAACGAATAGCCTTTAGAAATCTTAACGCTGCTCCCTAAAACTCTCCCGAGACAATGGGACGGAGAATATCGCATCAGCAATTGCTCGAGTTGGTCTCTTCAAGAGAGTTTCTCTGCTGGGCAATTAGGGTGAGGTAGCATGCAAAATCCTAATCTTCCCAACTATGGAGTGCAAAGAGATACCCCTATAATTTCCACAATTTTTATCTCCTTTTTTGAACATGGGAAAAATCAAACTGGTTCGAAGTTGTCTCTCCCCATATCCGTATACAGAGCCGGAAGATGGAGCTTCTCAGCAATGGCTAAGCCTACAGGATTTAAAACTTCTGCAGAGATTCCCACCAGAACTGAAACCTTAAGGGGACCACATAGTCCGGAAGTAGGAACTATGTATATGCCCTCTTCCATGCTTCCCGAGAAGGTGTTTCGCAGTGAAGTGACCAATAAGAAGCGAGGACAGCAGCAAAAGAAACTCCATTGAGGATGAACCTTTAACACAACCTGAAAAATGCGGCAACTAAGTATTATTGAGATGTTCTTTTATGCGGACGTGGTCATCTCAATGATGAAAACTCGTCTATGAAAAAACATCTATTCCTGCCAGAACAAAGACTATAAAGGCATTGCTGTCAAGATTATTATGAGCGAAAACGACCCCGCTAATCTACGCCTTTACGAAGCATTTTACATTAGAAAGTGCATGCCTACACTCAATTCCCGGGAAGAATGTAGTGAATTCTATTTTATAGACCATTCTTTAGCGCTTTTAGAGGTCCTTTGTCCTGAGACAGTCCATCATTAGAGCCTTGTGTTCCATTCACAGTTTATTTCTTTAGCTTTCAGACATCTTATGTCACATCTTTTACACATTTCACCTTACACTTTCTTTGCATATTTTCTCATCCCTGATGATGTCGTTGATCGGCGAAAGCTTGGATTTTAGATTTTACTTTTTAAACAGCAGTTTAAGGTCTCATTAGAACAGTTTTATATTTTAATTATGCTGCTGAAGGATTTTTCTTTCTACGAATTGTTTCTTTGGCATTGAAGACCACAGACACATGGTAAACAAACTCTTATCCTAGTCTAAAACGAAACAGCTTACATCTTGTTCGATGATTACATTAGTATCTCGCATATTGTCAGGATCGTCTTTTTATGGATTGTTGCGTTAGTATCTCGCACACTGCTAAGATTCTCTTTTGTTGAGTTGTTATAGGTTAGTATCTCGTGATGAGATTCTCTTTTCATGGATTGTTACGTTGACCTACTATTATCTCGCACATGGTTAGGATTGCTATTTGATGGGTTGTTACATTAGTATTTCGCGCACTGTTAAGATTCTCTTTAAGGGATTGTTACGTTACTTTCTAGCGCACTGTCAAGATTCCCTTTAAGGGATTTTTGCGTTAGTACCTTGCGCACTTTGAAGATTCTATTTTAAGGGATTGTTACGTTAGTAACTTACGCACTTTGAAGATTCTATTTTAAGGGACCACGGTTACGTTAGTATCTCGCCGCGGCACTTTGGAGACTCTCTTTTAAGGGATTGTTACGTTAGTATCTCGCACACTTTGAAGATTCTCTTTTAAGGGATTGTTACGTTAGTAACTTACGCACTTTGAAGATTCTCTTTTAAGGGACCACGGTTACGTTAGTATCTCGCGCACTTTGAAGATTCTCTTTTAAGGGATTGTTACGTTAGTATCTCGCGCACTCAGAAGATTCTATTTTAAGGGATTGTTACGTCAGTAACTTACGCACTTTGAACATTCTATTTTAAGGGACCACGATTACGTTAGTATCTCGTGCACTTTGAAGATTCTCTTTTAAGGGATTGTTACGTTAGTAACTTACCCACTTTTAAGATTCTCTTTTAAGGGACCACGGTTACGTTAGTATCTCGCGCATTTTGAAGATTCTATTTTAAGGGATTGTTACGTTAGTAACTTACGCACTTTAAAGATTCTCTTTTATGGGACCACGGTTACGTTAGTATCTCGCGCACTTTGAAGATTCTCTTTTGAGGGATTGTTGCGTAAGTATCTCGTGCACTTTGAAGATTCCTTGTTAAGGGATTGTTAGGTTTGTATTTATCGCACTTTAAAGATTATCTTTTGATGGTTGTTATGTTAGTATCTCGCGCATTGTTAAGACTCTCTTTTACGGGATTGTTACATTAGGATCTCGCGCACTTTGAAGATTCTCTTATATGATTCTCTTATATAGGATTGTTACGTCAGTATCTTGCGCTTGCGCATTGCTTGGATTCCCTTTTGAAGGATTGTTGCGTCATTAGTATCTCGCGCACTGTAAAGAGTCTCTTTTAAGGGATTGTTGCGTTAGTATCTCGCGCTCTGTTGAGATGCTCTTTTAAGGACTTGTTACGTTAGTATCTCGCGCTCTGTTAAGATAATCTTTTAAGGGATTGTTACGTAAGTATCTCGCGCACTGTTAAGATTCTCTTTTGATGATTGTTACGTTAGTTTCTCGCGCACTGTTAAGATTTTCACTTGACTGATTGTTACGTTTGTATCTCGCACACGGTTAACGAGGTCCTAAAGAGATTCGCTTTGATATCAAAGAAATATTCAATCTGCTAGAAACTAGAGTAAACATGCATCGCGTTTTGATGGCACTGCATGACTTGAAGTATCAGTTAAGAACAGTGTTTCCTGGCCGTTTATACGGCAATGTAAACCTTAAACACACCCCAAGATCAACCTTAGCAAATAGTTAAAACTGGGATGAGT